AGGGTTCAATTGTTCAAATCAACAGTCCAGCCTCTGGCGTCCAGTCGTGACAGTGTGAAGCGAAATCAATAATGCTGTGATTGATGCCCGGCGGTTGCAGTAGCACAAGTGACGGCTCCTCCTTCAATCGGAAGCAACAGCTCTGCTGGTTGGTCAGGCCGTTATAGAGGGTGGGTCGGGGCCATGTGGGCTACTGCGAGGGGAGCCAATGAGCCGCGGCGCTGAACCGCCCTCCCAAATAGAGTTGAACACACCTCATTGTTAGCGGCGGGCTTTTCCCCTCCTCTGTTCTCGGTAATACTTTTATTTTTAGTCTCGATCGAAGAGAACTGCATTCGATGCAGCGGAGCGGATGAGCGGGATGTACTGCAACTCATATCAGTGAGAGAGATTGCAGATTTGCACTTTTGACGTTGATCAAGAGTCAAATAAGACCCTGCAGGCCAGCCACTTGTCTGCCGAAGCGACCTCGATATGAGCACTTCTCCTCGCCATCCTACCGGGGTTCTCTTGGCCTTAGAATTAGACTATCGAATCGTCACAACCCAGCAGTTACGACGCTGAATCAGGCAAGTGACGAGTATAATAGCAAGTTGCTATTATCGGAGAGCACGCAGCATGCAGTCCACCGTGCTCGACCCAAAAGCACGTCCGCACATGCGTTTCTAGAGACGTAGGTGACACACAAGGATTCGTTGCCCATGCCAAGACCGTTGATACTGAGGATTCCTCCGGTGCGGGACTGGCGGCGAGAGGCTGATACCGTGGCACGCCGCTCGCACTACAACTGCGAATGGCCAAGGTGAGGGGAAGGAGAGCAGCTTGAAAAATGGCCCTAAGAGCCATCCACGCCAAAGCTTTAGTGTCCCGAACGGTCGATCGGAGCTGTCACCATCGACCCTCGGGCACTTGCCGCAGAAAGCTGACGATGCCAGCCAACGTGCCAGTTTTATCTCGGCGCTTTGAGAACAACGGCTTTACATCCCAAAAGGATCATCTGAAGAGTCAGAGACGCTCGGTCTTGTTGCACCGATGACGGGGTAAGCCAGCAAGACGCCCAGGCTTGAGCATCGTTGGTAGCAGGAGCAAAGCCGCCCCCAGACCGCAAGCTTATGCCCTCCTCCTTCACGGCTTTAAGGTTCTATCGACATGGGTTGCTTGACAGCTTCTGATGGCAACGTCACAGTCCCTGGTGTGGTCTGTTCTCAGTCTGAAGTGCAGCGTTCATCCTCAAGGCTTCGAGTCGTCTGTTGATCGGGTCAAGAGGACGTCGACTCGACTGAGCAGGGGCCTGCTCCGTGAGACGGGAGGCGTTGAGGAGGCAGGCGTTCATGCGCTTTAGAGGTTTGCTGGATAAGACAACACCACCGTCTTTTCTCGGTTGTCTTCCGCACCCCATCAAGGCTTCGTTCGCTTTAGCAACTAATCTTTTCGAAAATGGCAGCAGGGCTATAGAACTAAGTATACCATATGGCATGTCGGTCGATCGGCGAAAGAAGTCATGAAAGCTGCAGTCGTCGGATTATCGATTGATGATTCTCCATCAGCTGCTGCGCCGTACACTAGTCCCCGTCATCGTGGGTTTGGGACTTTGGACAACGGTGAAGAGCGTGCCCGCTGTGGAGTATGCGACGGGCCCCAAATGCAGACGAGCAGGGGGTATGAGAGAGAAAAAGAAAGAAAAGCCCGATCCTTGTCAATATCTTCCATGTGGCATGCCCAGCTTTTGCCAACCTCCAGCCAGGAAGGGACTTTCTTGAGGGGCAACGGGACCGGGGTCTGTTGTCCATGGTTGCGTTGCGGTCCAAAGGTGGACAGGGGTGGTTTCGTGGTGGTGGTGGTGGAGTACAGGGTTCGGTGATGGTCGAGACGGTGACTGCGACCGGGCAACGAGCAGCCGTCCCATCTTCTCAAACCAGCTGTGCCTCAGCACAGCCATTCTGGAACTTGCGTGTGTCTGAGGCGGTTTTGATCAGCCGTCTCAGAGTTTTGCAGAGGATCAGATGGCATGAACTCAGCGTGGGAGCTGGGAATTTCTGGATGGAATGGGCAGTTTGCACAATGGGAAAAATCTTCTTGTGGTCTGAAGTTCGGGGTGGCCTGGGCTGTGTCGTGTCGTCTTGTCGAGTCGAGTGGGTGCGCGATCTCTGTTACGCTTTCGACGCCATCTGGAAGATCAAAAGAGTTTGTGCGACAGGCGAGTGCGGACGAAGCGAAGAGGGTGTAGAGAGACGTACCCTTCAACTCTTACCTAAGCACATCAGGTTCTTTCCCCTGCTTGTGTGAGAACCTGACAAGCCTGACTAGGAAGGAAGAGACCACGATCATTCGGACCGCGATGCTTTTCTTAGGTACTCACCTTCCTGCTGCTGTACCGATACCAAGGCGTAATGGAAGGCAAGAACAGCTCAGAAACAGGCAAAGGCGGGTATTGTTTCTTTTGGCCTGTTTATCCTCCCGCTCGACTTGCCTATCGTAGATTTTTCTGCATTCTCATTTGCTGAAATGGCCGAAGCTAGATTAATTAAATCGACCACTGGCCCGTAAATCATCGACGTCTCCTCCCAAAGTGGTACATGAGCTCGCTGGAGGCTGGGGTCTTACAGGGCACTTGCTCACTGTCTGCTGTAGTGTAAGGCAATTGCTTCCCCTCTCTGCTGAGTTGAGGTAAAGTGCGCTGTGCTGTCCATCTTCTGTGCGTGAGGTGGCTGACCAGGAGGAGGGTTCATGAGGCGATACCTACGAGAGCAGAGCTGGGACGACAGAAAAGACAGGAAAGATACTTGATTTTGTGGTGCTCTCCCAGTGAGAATTCAGGTAGCCATCTCGTCCTTTCCTTCTGGTCCCAAGTACTGAGGAGGGATGCGATGATCTGACGGCACACCAGACGGCCCCAGTCTCACCCCTGGTCCCTTGGCAGGTGCGCTCCACTCTCCGCCTGCCAGAGGAGAAGCAGCAAGGGGTCTTATTGGCCTGAGCTCATTCTCTAACCGCCCACGGCTTGTGCGTACGGGCCCAATCACGTCGATGCGTTAACCACCTCTGTCACTCGACCCTTTCCCAAGCCCCTCCGACCTCGTCAACTCGCTCAATCCGTATTGCACACCAAAACTTCCATAGTCCATACCTACCTCACTGATATTCTCTCATTACTTGTTCGAGCCATTCACGCACACCGATCCTCAAGTCGCCTAGCCCCGCGCCTCGCCACGTCCTCCACTACCTATATTGCTTGCAGGAAACAATGTCCCTCAACTCTCTCACCGTGCCTTGGCCTCGCGCACCCATCCCGGGCAACATTGCATCCGTACCCGCTCGCCTACATCCTTCACCCAAGCATATCCCCCATCATGCAGTCAAGTGACGGCTTCAACCTACTTGGGGCCCTGGCTGAGCTACCTCTAGTGTCTAGTCGCCCTTCTCCAATACCTGTGTGACCACTTCCAACTGGTTCTCGACTGAGATTCCATGACCGGCCATGGCCGTGGCTGGGTCGGGCGGGTATGGTAGCGCCGTAACGCTGCCATGCCAGACGGACGTATGATGCCGCTCTCTGCGCCGCTTTCTGCACTGCACTTCTTTCTTGCATCCAATCCCGCCTAGATGGACCGACTAGATCACTCTACCCCGGTTTTCTCATCCGACCAGACTCCCAAAAGCTGGCGTTTCTTAAAACTCGTCTACCTCCATCTTTCGCGTGTGCGACCAGCCATCGTTTCTGTCCCTCTTCCACCTCCTTGCTTCACCAGTGTCCCTGACAGCCGTCCTGTCTGATCATCAAACAACCTTCATGCGACGGGGGCGATAGAGCACAGATCCCTGACGAACATCACGTACCAAATACTCCACCACAACGCTTCACCATCCCGACTACTGCCTCATACCCCGTACCTCACCACGGTCTCCCGGCACTAGGAGAATAACTCCCACAGAGCCTCAACGCAAAGAGCTTCAGCCTTCAGATCCTACGATATCCTGGTCCACGAGCATCACACACCACGCCGTCACTGCTGTCCACATTTCCTGCAACACTGACCATCACTACCTCCACCAACACCACCACCAACATCATCACCAACGCCAACCTGACCCCTGGCTTCGCCTCTTAGTTCTGCTGGCTGGTCTATAGCAGAACCAAGACCCCTCGCGCAACAAGAAACGTCTCAATGCCGCTCGGATGCCCGCTGTCATCATAGATCAGATTGCTCGTACCTGGCTCTCTAGAGAACTCGCTCCAGCATCGAGCCAGAAACACCCGACACTGATACCCTGCCCAGCAAGCTAGCCCGGGGGCCATTCTGATACAAGCCTCAACCAGCTTTTCTGTGCGGCTCGGCGTCTTGCCCACTGGGCTGGACCAAGCCCACATCGTCCTCCACCTCTCACACAGCCAGGCACACACCAGTATCCGCCCACCCTGGTCTGGGTCTGCCACCTTCAGTCCAAGTCGTCTCATCCATCCCGACTCTCTCGTCTCAATATAGATCTGTCGTCCTCCCCCGCCTCATTGATCGGTTGACACTTCTGGTCCTTCCTCTTGACCTTCTCTTCTTTCCTCGCCAGCGCTGCGCACTTGCCTGTCGATATCCTTCTTTTAATATCGACACTCTTCGGTTCGAACGCCTTCACTTCTTTCTTCAACCCGCAGGTCCGGTACCTATTCCTTTCCTTTCGCCGTTGCACGGTTTGCCTTTCGACCTAGTCGCCTTTTACACCACTACCCGTTTTATTCCACGAGAGGGCTCCGATCTCGACGACCGCTTCCTTCGTTCCTTTCATTCACTGGTTCAACGGGTTTATTTGGGAAAAGAGGACGGACACAGCAGGGTCGCAATACAGGTTACCAACGCCACAGGCAAAAAGAGGGATCAAAGATTTCACAATACAACTGAGCAATCAGAAAGAGAGAGGAAAAGAAGGCTCCACGAAAAGTCAACAACATTATTTAATCGAGAAAGATGGGTCGTCTTATTAAGAACCATTGGGCTCGGCTCATCGTTATGAGCGCGGCAGCTTGTAAGTTGGATCTCTCTCATGAGGGCCAAAGCACCTTCAATACTAACCTTTTGCGAACAGACCAGTTTGCCGCTGCTCTCGAGGGCTTCTTCTGGCCCAAGATCTTTTGGGACTTCTTGACCAAAACGCTGGACCCAGCTGTCAAGCCCGTGCCGGTGTTACAAATTATCAATCTCCTCATGGCGCTGTTCATGGTGGCCCTGGAGTGGCCTTTAGGATTCATCGCCGGCTCGGCAATCCACCGCAGTCTCGAGTTCCGCCTCATCATCCTCCCTCTCACCACCCTCGCCGCCGCCCTCATCTACCAGGGCACCAACTCTGCTCTTTACTACATTGTCGGGTTGGTTGTTTACTTTTGGGCTTACAGCGAAGGAGAGGTACGCTTGCATGAAATTCATACCTCATTATACATTTTACTGACTTTTGTATCCAGATCATTTGTGCTAAGCCCTGGACCCTTCCCCAAAGAGGCCGCAATGGCTCTCGCGTATAGACTGCACTCGCCCCTTCTTAGCGGCGGTTACAATCGTCTCGACCTCGCACGGTACACTCATCTACCTGTCAGAGAGACTCCCGTATACCCCATGGCGAGCAAGTCCAAGCAAACTCGGGAGAATCGATGAGACCTCACCGTTCTTTCCCTGAGCTATCATGACAACTTGTTTACTACTTTTTCCTTTCACGTTTATAACGATCCCAATCGATATCACGGCATCCAGCATCGGCGTTCTTCCTGACGATAAAGGGTTACATGATTATTCCTCAACTCTCGGTTACAGCGGCTCGATAACGGTATAACCTTATTCAGCCTTTTTCCTCTTCAAGTCATCTCAGCGTGGGCATACTTTCTCGTGGCAGTTGTGGTGGTGGTGTGGGTGGGTGGATGCGGTCGTCGTTCGTCCTGTTTCGTATCGGCTTACCATGGACTTACACACAGTGGGTGGCGCGTTGACCGGGGCATGGGTCAGTTGGGGGCAGCCGCAGGACCAGAGACAGGAGACTCCTTGGCACCTCGCTTTGGAGCATGCAACCTCCCATGTTCTGGAGGGTGGATTGTATCATCCCGAAGCTCGGCTCAAAAATATATCGGGATGAGGGGATTCTGGTTCTCGGGGGATGGGATGAGAAGAGAGCGAGAGAGAGCGGACGCTGGAGAGAGAGATTCTGCCAGGAATAGCCGCCGCCCAAGAAAAACGCTGTCAAGAGACGTGGCCTTGGTCCATAGAGACCGAAGCAACCAATGCTACACCTAATATCAAGACAAGAAATTTCCAATGAAAAAAATTAACCAGATCCAAGAATGAGTCCCAAAACATGAGCCCTCTAATTGTAATTTGTCCCCCATCATCATCAACTGACACGATGTGACGGCAATCTCGGCAAACAAGCTTAACGCCCGGTGACATATGGCATACCACGACATGGGGTTCATCCCTCTCAGATTACCTCTCGGGACTGACCAATTCAGAAAAAAAGGTCAAGAGAAAGATTTTCAAAAAAGAGTTGCCGTTGATCCGTAATGGTCTCGTGAGCTCTTGGCGCCTTCTTCTGTTCTCTCTTTCGCACTTTGACTTTTTCCTTCGCAGCCAAGGGAACCGATGGTTTACGGGAGCGTCAAGGTTTCTTTCTTCGACTTCTTTTTTTTTTTTTTTTTTTTTTTTTTGCTTTCCATCGAACCTTCATTCTCACCTGAAAAAGGGGTGTGTGTAGATGACCTCAAAGTATGTAATCAGTGACACCACACGCACACACGCACACACACACACACACACACACACACACACATACACACATACACACATACAGCACATACAACGTCCCCCCGACGACAAAAAAAGAGAAAAATAACCCCTTTCAGAATTTGAGGCGCGTGGAGGCAACAGCGACAGGCGAGGAGGGGGCGGCTACGCAGGGGTCGGGGGGGCCAAGGCACCGCAGCGGCTCCCCGAAACACTTTAGAAACGGGCGCGCACCACATCACGAGTCCACGAGAGAGGGAGAAGAAAAAACCCACGACCCAACAGGAACCAACGACGCAAGGTCCAGCACGATCAACAACACGGCTGAACAAGCTAACGGGGGGGCCGCCGTCGCTGGCCCCCAAACGACTCGTATCTCCACTTTTCGGACAGCCTTGCACATATTCGAATACATTAAAACCATCTTTATATAGACCAGGCGTCCTGCCCGTTCCTGGCGGCTCAATTTACATGAAGTAAGCCTGACCAAGCAGTCGGAAAGAGCTTACTTTGATCAATCGCCCGGTCGGTCAACCATATCGCGAAAGCTTGCTCTATAGCCAGTCGACCCGATCAGTTTTCGGATCTGACGGCATGACTGACTTACTACCCAAGCTTCTTACATTTCGTGTACTGCGAAGATTTTCTGCACTCTTACTACTTGCACCGCAAATGGATCAAACACCCCTTAAATGTGCATACGTCAAAATCATTCATAATCATCGGGTGCAGACAAGGACAAAATCGATGGAGAGAAGTCATGTGCTCATGTTCAGCTATTCGCTAAGTAAACCCATGCAATCGACCCCATGCTTGACCATGGCGTCGATGTTGAACCCTTGTCGGGCTCGAAGGAGATTTTTTAAGGTTATCACACCTTGTACATCATCCTCCGTTGCATGTAAATTGGTTGATGGGAACGCGATTAATGTTCCCCTTCAAGACATCTTCTTTCGGATTGTCATTGTTAGGCGTGCTCCGTCGAGCGTAATGCCTCGCTGCCATCGCTGCACACACCACCTCAACGCCTCAAAACAGAAACGCCCGCCTTTGACCGCAGCTACGTCGAGCGCCAGGGAATCGTCGGTTTCGGCTCACATTGGGCCGCAACCTTCTGTAAGATGTTGGCCGAGCTGATGCGACAATGCCGCCCCTCACGTCTAGCCTCACGCGACTGCGGGAGTTGGAAGACCTCTAGTGGGCAACCATGCCGCCCTGGGAATCGTTCTTGGGACCCTGGCGGTCGGGGAACTGTTGATATCATTGTCAGTGAATTGCACTTGAGGTGGTGTGTCCAACGTATGACTGACCTCAATGTTCTGGGTGTCACCCTTCTCAAGAATTTGCTTGATCACTTCATCATCGACGCTGGTACCAAACTCGTTCTCGAGTGTGGACTTGGAAGCGGCATCGTACTGGCCCTGTGCACCTTGCCTAATTCATTGAGTTAGCCGCTGTGTGTAATGTGTGGAAATGCGGGGTAGGCCAAGTAGGTGTCGGTAGCATGTTGGGAAGCAAACAATTGGAGGCCCGAACGCTCCCCCGCCCTGCCATAGGCCGAAGCCATTGCAACGGCAGACCTCGTATCCAATTGGGCCAAAGATGGTGAATAGACAACCAGATAAAGCACTGGTGATGGAAAGGAAGAGGTAGGAAGAAGGTAAAGTTGCAACTTACTTGTGCGTGACGAAGATCTTGTATGAGGAAATGAAGTGTGCCAGAGGAACAGACTTGTCGGTCTTCCACTTCTTGTAGAGCTCGGGGTCCTCAACGAAGATGATGAAGTCGTCCTCCTGGCCCTTGAAGTGGACCTTAGTCTGGGAAGCCTCGCCGCGAACCATTTTGACTGTTGTAGTGGTGGTGGTGGTGGTGGTGTGTAGGAGTGTAGTGTGTTTTGGTAAGTGATTGAATGATGAACTCTCGATGGAGGTCTTGTGAATGTGATAGGAATGTGCGTGTAAGACGAAATGTCGTCGGGTATCTCAGGATGTTTGTGTTTGGTTGATTGATCTGAAGAGGAGAAGACAGATGGGAGCTCAAGGTATGCCGCAGCCTTTTAATATGAGGAAAAGCTGAAGAGGGGGAGGAGCTTCCCCCAGCTACGCTACGAGGAGAGGGCGGGAGCTGGGAAGCTCGTGATTTGGAAGGTACGTCATAGGTGCGGGAACACGCGACTGCCTTTCATCACTGCCCCGCCATTGGGGAGCTTGCCCAGGCAGGGAGCGGGGCAGCTATGTGCTCCGTGCATCGCCCAGCTGGTCCAGGCACGTCGCCAAACTCGCCCATTAGGTACCGGGAACTCTGAGCGTTCCTGCATCGCACCACTGTAGTACGTCACCGCTAATCTCAGACCAAGGAAAGTAGGCCAAAGGGGTGTTTACACGTCGCGACAACTTGCGGCTGGAATGATCCAGATGGGGAAGGAAACGTTTGGCACAAAGTACGGAGTACCTACCTTACTTATTGTGTACCTTGCCATGCCCTTTTTCACAGCGCAAACTGAACCGCCCTCGATATCCCGAGGTACCTTACATCAATGCAAGTCACCTCACTGGCCAGGGCAGCTTGCTATGGTGGGGCTCACTACGGGAGCTCAACATCCACTTTCCCAAGAAGGTCCAAACATGGAGACGGACGTCCGCAGAAAGAGGCATTACCAGGAGTCAAGCCTCACGATGGCATCACTGACATCATCTGGTGTAACTTTGAGACTGCGTAACTTATTGCGGTGGGTAATGAGCAATTTAACGCAGGGGTATCATTATACTCTCGTCAACTCGATGACAAAAACAATCAGAACTAAGAATACCTCCATATAAACTCAGTGCTTTTCCCCTCTTCAGAGTTTCTCAATGAATATAGCCAATAGGCGTAACATAGTGACGTGCACCTCCATCTTTCGCATTCAATTCCAGTCAATCTGTCATGATTCATCCATTGAAGCCGACTAAAGGCCAAATGCTGCGGCCGGTCTTTATCGAAAGAAGCTTCGGATGCCCTGGACCAAATCGTCTCTGTTCAATGTGCCAGCCTTGCCCCAGCGCATCGACGCCTTGTGGGACAGTTTGGGCCCTTTTGGTGCTCGATGTTGATGCTCCCGGTAAACACCTTTCTCGGACGGACAGGGTGATTTTCTGTCGGAAATCTGGTCTCGACGCACTCTCGGCAAGTTGTTTCCTGACGCAGTGCGCAAAATGGATGGTCTCGATGTATACGCGTCCCCAGAGTAGATGTGTTCCAGCCGCAATTGTTCGACTGGATCTGCATGAACAAGAATCTTGGCCGGATTCAACATCGGGGTCGCCGGAGCGCTAACCGTGCTTATAACCTCGACATCGTCGTCGATTTTGGGCAAGCGAGTCTTTGCTGTTTCACCAGCTTCGTCATCGAGACCGTGTGCAATATTCGGACTATCCTCTTCGCAAAGCTTGAAGGCATGTCCATGATGCGCGTTTTCTTGCTTCTCTCCCACATTCTCGTCAGGGACGAGCTTCCCCATGCTTGCAACACTGTTGGACCTCTTTGCAAAAGAGCTGGCGATGCTTGCAACGCTGAGCTTCCGCATCATTGTACTAGCAGAACTTCGAACCAAGTGTTCAGAGCGAGATCTACCAGTCATACCGGGGAACGGGAGGATATCTCGGCTCCAGATGTCAGACATGAGAGCTTCAAGTCGAGCTCTCTCGCCTCGTGGAGGTGCCAGAATTGGAATGCGAGGGCTCGTTGTGAGCAGCGATTGCGAGCGATTGATAGATGTAGTGGATGCGGCATCTGAATTGTCTCGCAGAACACTAGTATTCTTCAAAATGACCTGACACAAGGGCGATTTTGGGCCAACTGTGGTGGCGCGATGAATCGATATCCGACGGGCAACAGTGCCTGGG